CGAGCAGGGCGTTAACAACCTCGCGCGCCTACCTCTCGACCCGCTCCGCGCCTCGCGCACTTACCCGCCCTGCGCCTGCGCCCTGTGAAGGCATGGAGGGGGCGGGGGTGAGGAGACAGCAGGGGAGGGGTGGAGGCTCTGCGCCGCCTCGTTCTATTTCTAGGTGACGTCACTTACTATAAATAGCCACCCCCCGGACGCGACTAGGGGGCGCAGGCATGCGCACTAGGAGTGGTGCATTTTATAGCTGCAAAGGTGGAGGTGGGAGACAGGGCGGGGTCATTGCCAAGCTGGGCCAGGCCCACCATGCACATAGTCTCACGCGACAGGCGGTGGCTGTCAATAACCCCTTGAGACAGGGCGTGGCTGCTAGGAAATCCACTGACCATCCCCATTTGTCAATGCCCAGGCAGGCTCCCGCTGCTCGGTAGTGCCTAACATCATACAGCAGTATTACCTGGATGCCAGCAGCAATGGTGCAAAGCCTCCTACCTTGTCTTACAAATACCTGTGATTTTTCTCCTATCCACAATTGTGCTTTGTGCAGCACGTTTCTCCTTCCCGTATGCAGTCATGACTTGTGTGGTATTTGCTCCAGTGCATTTCTCCAGCAGAGGATTGTCACTGTGTATGAGTAATAAAACACAGTTCTTCTTTCAGTGTAAGCTTTGCATTTTTCACATACTTGTGTTTCATTTCACTGAAACCGGAGGTCAGATGAAAACCCGGATATCATGTATTAGGAACCTTTAATAATTGGGTTGGTGGGAATATGTCAGTTGCATCATGCTGCATACCTAAGTGATGTCACTAATTTATATTTTAGCATATATTTTATTTTACAGTGATTAGATATTTACAGAATTCGCTAAATGATTTACACAAAAATTACCTCTAATAGGCAATATTATAGAAGTGATGCAGATGGTGGTCCTGGCAGATGTGTAAGCTGCCACATCATTCATTTGCAAAAATTAAAATTCAATAATTAATCTATCCCAAATATACTCAGTTTGTTCATCCCTGTCACTGAAGTCAGGGCAGATCATTGGGGGAATTATTTCATTTCATCCTCCACCCGCTCCCAAAATATGCCCCTTATCACTTTCAGATATAGTTAGGTATGCCCACTGTACAGTGTTTAGTATTCTTTTGGGGCTGCATTTCCTTTATTCTTCTAATTCTTTAAATAGCTACACTGTTGTAGCCTTCAGGATAGTTAATCCACTTCCCCAAGGCTATGTCTAGACTGCAAGCCTCTTTCGAAAGAGCCTCTTTCGAAAGAGAGCGTCTAGACTGCACGTTGAACTTTCGAAAAAGCGGCTTGCTTTTTCGAAAGAAAGCATCCAGTGAGTCTGGATGCTCTCTTTCGAAGAAGCCCTATTTACATTGAAGAACGCCTTCTTTCGAAAGAGGAACTTTCGAAAGAAGGCGTTCTTCCTCGTGAAATGAGGTTTACTGCCATCGAAAGAAAAGCCGCATTCTTTCGATTTAATTGAGAAAGAACGCGGCTTGAATCTGGACGCAGGGGAAGTTTTTTCGGAAAAAGGCTACTTTTCCCGAAAAAACCCCTGAGTCTGGACACAGCCCAAGAGAGGGTAGCTGGGTCAATGGAAGAATTCTATTTGCATAGCTCCAGCTACATCAGGGGTTAGCTAGGCCTAGCTTCATATCTCAGGGGTGTGATTTTTCACAGCCTGCAGAGATGGAGCTATGCCAGAGTAAGTTCCAAGTGTTGACTTGCCCTAAGTGTAGACATACCCTGAGGCACACAGAGGTGAAAAGTGTCCAAGTTGTCCTAAAAGGTAACAGAGTTGTTAGACAATACTGCCTCCCCAGAAATGTAGGATGACATCCAGACTTTACCAACAAGAATGGGAAAAGCTCATTCATATGAGCTATAGCAAAGCATGATTCAGAATTCCAGGACTTCCCACAAGACTCAGACTCCACTCCAGGCATTTTGCATAACGCTGCAGCTCATCAGGATTCCTAGCAGAGCTGAGAAATGTTTTTCATATAAAATAGGATTCCAAGTTGTTGGCATGGTTACCACATATTTACTTACTTACTTACTGCCCGTTATGCCAATGGCGCATAGGGCAGCAACAAAGTCCTTCCACTTCCGTCGGTCACAGGCCAAAGCGCCTATTGTTCCCCAAGTGTGGTTAATTCTTGTTCTACTGTTCGGCGCCAGGTTGTTTTTGGTCTTCCTCTCTTTCTCTTCCCATCTGGTTTCCAGTGGAGTGCAATTTTCGTAATAGATCCGTCTTCTCTTCGTAACACATGACCTATCCATCGCCAGCGTCTTTTCATAATTATAGTGGCCATGTCTTCTTGTTTACACTGAGACAGCAGGTCTTCGTTGGAAATTTTATTTGGCCAAAATATCCTGATTATTCTTCTAAGATTCTTGGTATGGAATGTAGACAATTTAGTAAGGTCTCGTTGTATCATGCGCCAACATTCTGCTCCATAGAGAAGCACTGGAAGAACACAGCTGTTGTATAGTTTCAGCTTAGTGCGCATGCTGTACTTTGAGGATTTCCAGATGTTATTCATACTGATAAAGGCATTTCGTGCTTTACTCAGTCTATTCTGAATGTCTTGCTTACTTCCACCATCTGGGGTGATGATACTACTCAAATATACAAATCTATCAGTAAAGGGAAGATCGTTGTTATTGATCTTGATGGGGGTTTGTGTTATAGTGTTCAGAGTCATGACTTCTGACTTCTTCTGGTTTATCTTAAGGCCAACTTGTGAGCTATATTTATTTAATTTATCTGTTTTATCTTGCATATGCCGATGAGTGTGAGAAAGAAGTGCCAAGTCATCGGCAAAATCCAGATCTTCAAGTGTAGAGAAAAGCGTCCATCTAATGCCGGTATGCTCCTCCTCAGTCGTACGTCGCATCACCCAGTCAATAACAAGATTGAAGAGCAGTGGCGACATTACGCAACCTTGACGAACTCCGGTCTTGACTTCAAACCATATATCGCTTCCTCCAACACAACAGCTATAATTTTTGTAGAAGCTCCTAATGAACTTCACCATATGATATGGTATTCCATAGGCCCTCAAAATCTGCCATAATCTGTCTCTGTCGACACTATCGAAAGCCTTTTCAAAGTCTACAAAGTTCATGTGACGTTGTCGTTGCCATTCTGCACTCTGTTCTATGAGCAAAGATCTGTTCTATACAACGCCTACTTTTTCTAAAACCTGCCTGCTCCTTCCTCAGCGTTTCATTAACTGCTGTTGATATTCTACCCATGATGATTTTAGCGAGGATCTTGCTGGGTATTGACAGAAGGGTAATTCCGCGCCAGTTGTTACAATCGCTGAGTGTGCCCTTCTTTGGGATCTTGATAATCACCCCTTTAGTCCAATCCTCCGGTACGCAGGCT